TCTTCCAAGTGCTCCACGAAACCTCTTTTTAAATTTTTAACATCAATTTTATCAGCAACCAAAGCCGGGCTTCACAGCTATTGCGAAACTACCTATTCTAGATGTGGCCTGAATCAGATGTGGATACTAAAAAATTACAAAGATCTTTTAGAGTACATAAAATCTAAGAATCTCTATTCTTGTAAAAGTATTAAAACATTCGACTTTCTACACTTTCGAATTCCTTGGAGTTCAGTATTTTTGTTATTTTACTTTTTACACAAGTATTCCCAATTCAAAACTAAAAGACAAATTGAAAGAGTTGGTCCTGCTTTGTAACATAAAAAAGAATGGCCTACGTAGATACAAGTTTCTTGTCTTAGGGAGGGTTAAATCGTACTTTGTAAAAAATCACTCTGATTCAAACAAAAAAATCTTACAATATCAAGATGCTTAATTTCTTGATTGACAACATATTTGTTACGTTTGGAGGACGTGTTTACAACAAACAATCAGCACTCCCATGGGAACCAACTGTCTTCTTGCCGACTTGTTCCTTTATTCATATGAGGTTGACTTCATACAGGAACTTTTAGGAAGATAAGATTATTTTGATTAATAATGCTTTAGATAGTTTAAACTTTTGCCTATTTCAGCTAAATAATTTTATATTTGAAAATTTCGCGAAAATCGCAATCCTTGTACAAATACATTCATGACGTCAATAAAGAATACAGGTTCGCGGAATATCAGTGGGAAATCTATTGACAAACTGTTACCTCCCCTGTAAACACTGAAAACTAAATATTTTCATTGTTTGTCTCATTTTAGCAAGGACGCTGTCAATTATGAATTCACTGGAAAACGTTCTGTTAAATAGTAAAAATAGAAATAAGTTGAAATGAAAACAAAACTTCCATTTAAAATTATCATTTCCCTCCTTAAATAGCAAACGACGAGTACAGCAGGCTATAGGAGCTTGATGTAAAATTGGTTTAAAATGTTGCTATGCGAATAAATTTCTGGAGTACCAACTTCAATTTATTTTTCTACTAGCTGTATATCTCTCTGGAACATGTTCATTATCCGTATATAAATGCAGCTAGATCAGAGCAGTTCAGGGAAAACAATCCAAAGGAATCGATTGATATGCAACCAAGATTAATACTTTTGAAATTAAGTTACTAAGCAAATTCAAACGGACCTTATCCCGATTTAAAAATTGAATGTGAATAGATCGAGAAGAACGCTAATAAATGTACAAAAATCGAGACGACCTTTTCTGAAAATTGTATAAAAAATAGGACATACTTTATAAAAATATTGATCTTTAATTTCTGAACCTGCACAGACAGACTTTTGGATTGTTATATTCACGAAAAGACAATATTTCTATATTGAATGTTCACGTGGCAGACCGGTTTACTCGAAAGCTTAGGTATGAAAAATAAGTATATTTTGGGAAACTGTAACATGCTAATGTATCTGTGGAACACTCCGAAAATTGGTGACCCGACAGATCTTTACATTTTGTATGTACATGATTTTTTTCCAAATTTTGTTATCAATATTTAGCAAAGATTAACATTTTTCAGATTTCAGTTTCACAAGCTTCTAATGCAATTATCTCGATAAATACTGAACATAAAAAGTGTATTTGCATGTATATTTCTAATAACATAGTTCAACAAATAATTTCTTTAAAATGTAGTTGTTGTCTAGAAACAACTTTTGATCAGTATCGTCAACGGCATTGTTTTATTTTTGATTTTCTCGACTTTTTCATAAGAAGAGTGAATTTTTTATTGTTCTCGATTACTAGATTTCCAATTGATATGCATGTCTTCCGCTTCAAAGCTTCGCTTTCTATCTGTTTCTAAGCCTTGTTCAATTATGTTATACTGCAACTGAGTTAGTCCAATTGCATTGCCGTATTTACATTTGTGATATATAGTCACTGACCGTATATGGTCTTGTTTATGATGTTGACGACGCCTTTCCGTAGAGTTTATTTTAAAGTCAATAAAGAATACAGGTTCGTGGAATTTTTCAAATTCATTCTATACATGTAATACTTGGACATAACCACTTATTCATGTTGTACGCAGATCATCTTTTCAAGTACAAAAATAAAGGCAACAGTAGTATACCGGTGTTCAAAAGTTATAAATCGATTTAGAGAAAACAAATCCGGGTTACAAATCAAAATCGAGGGAACACATCAACTATAAGAGGAAAACAAATGAACAACAGGAACACCGAAGTGCAACAAAAACAAACGCCAACACACATAGAAACGAACTATTTGATTACAACTGCCATATTCCTGACTTAGTACAGGACATTTTAAGAAAAAAATGGTGGGTTGAACCTGGTTTCATGGCATGTCAAACCTCCCGCTTCATGACAATGTTAAAAAATATCGCTAAAACACTACGTGACAGAAATACAGCACAAACACACACAAGAACATTCATAACAGAGAAACGCACAAACAAATAATATAATAGTCGACACAACATACAAACCACAGAACAACAACGAACATATTCTCCATCAACGAAAAACACCACAGGATATCAAAAATCGTGACGCGCTTACGTAACTAACATGCAATCTGGAACTTTATACAATTATTTTCACAGTATTGGTCCAAACAATTTTCATGACAATAATGGTATTGAAAGGCAATTTATAATTATTTTGACTACAAACGATAAGACATAACAGATTAACCAACCTAAACCATAACAGAAACAACAAAATAAACCTGTGATTGCTTGTTAGCATGTTATTTTAGAAAGGGGGTACTAGGGTTTATATTAATATAAATGTTTAACTTATGTAAGTTTTAAGACTAGAAATCCTTGAAACAAATATTTAACCATACATGCATTAAGAGTAAAAACTTTACTGATATACAATATTTTTTATAAATACTATACACGTAGTTGTAATTGAAATAAATACGGAGATGTAGTATGATTGCTAATGAAACCATAATCCAACTGAGTCCAAATGAAGCGGATTTTAACAACTAAACGGTCTTCGACAATGAAAAAAAACCTCAACCCGTATAGTCATCTATAAAAACCACGTCATGACTAAATGTGAAAAAATCCAATCTAAAAATCCAACGGCCTGATGTATGACAAACGAATAACAAATATGACAGACAGCGCCCAATGACAACCACTGAATTACAGGTTCCTGACCTTAGACAGACACATATAGAATATGACAGTGTTTAGCATGTTTGTGGGGGCTAAACCCACCCATAACCTGGATTAGTGGTGTAACAGTACAAAATAAGAACAAACTGTAAAAATCAGTTGGAAATGGCTAGACTCATCCGATTGATACGATCTACAAAAGACAACTAATATATTTACAAAAGACAAAATGTACCGATGTAAGAGTAATTTCAACTAGTTCAAAGCAAATAACAATAAATGAATAATTCACGTTCTCCCAGACTACATTAACCATATATTGTTAGAACTGAAAATATAATTATGGATTAACTGTTTGCACACATACAGCTAAATTAATCCTAATGAGGTTTTTTTTAGTTTTTTTACTTACATATAAACCGATCATAAGATCATTGGGAGAACTGTATTCACTTTCTTTATGAAAGGAAATGTAGTTGCAGACATAAAATCTATCTCGGATCGCATATGATATGTTCGATTTTGAAAATGATAGCTGAAAGAAGAACGGTGTTGGTACAAATGTTTCAACGGCTTATCGAACGAAATACCATACATGCATTTATACTATATTTTTAATATGGTACGAAATGGTAAACATGCAATTGACCAATATGGTACCAGACTATGTATGGTACGAAATAGTCTTTGTTTACGGCACTAATTTAAGGCATGAATTGGTAAATATTTGGTATGAAATGGCAATGGAATGAACAAATTATGGCATGAAATGACTGGTATTGCTTCTAAAACTAGATATACATCGCGACAAGTGTCTCGACAAGACAAATATAGTGTTCGAGGTCGTCACTGTTGCTGCATGTCTATTGATAATTTGATGTGGGTGTAACATATTTAGTTTTCCTTTACATACAATTGGTGCTATATTGATGCTGTCATACAATTAAGATCGTAACTTTTGTTGAAAATCGAAGATTGAACTAAAAAAATATTTCATTCCAGTATTCATCATTACTTCAGAAAAAAATGTAAGGTACTTTGTATTGTAGTCGGCTGTCAACTCATCTGACAATCATGTCACTAAAGGACTGTCGTTATGCATAACAGTGATCAAATTGACAACACGTATAATTCGTGTTTTGTCATAACAAACCTAACAATGGTTATTAGTCTTCTTCTCTCTTTTGTAATGTTGCAAAGTATATCAAGCTTTAAAAAAAACCGGCACTTTCAGAATTGCTTTCACCTCGTAAAAAGGGGACGGATCTCCTTTCGAATGAATGTTCCAACATAGAAAAATTAATTATCACTCAATCAGTTTAAAAAAAAAGTTTTTTGAGGAAAAGACAATCAGTAAATCCAAAATTTTCTGTAATTAAATTACGACAAAATAAAAAGATAATAAACTGAAACAACAATGGTTCTAATAAGATTTTAATGAAAACAGTTTTAATTAGATTCAAAAAATATTTACCGATGTTCAAATATCATAAATCAATTCAGAACATGTTGTTTTTTCCAAGTAACTAATAAAACCTTAGGGAACTGTATCAACTCAAAATGAGCGAGACCATGCGTGTTGACAGGTTACACATTCAGTCATACTGTCACAGTAAATCCCACAATCGGTAATTTTATTGTAGATCAGAAGATACATCTGAAATCGGAGATCTAAGAGAGCGAAATCATGTCACTACTGAGTTGAGTCAAAGAAATATTGTATCGGTTAACCAACGTAAAATGTATGCAGTGTCAAATTCAGTCGTTCTTCCTCATATAAAACCTGTAACAACACTTTGTCATGTGCACAAAGAGAAAACAAATAAACAACAAAGCACATTTATGTACTGAAACACTAAACTTTAATAACATTAAAACATCTCGATTTCTATTTTCATTTATAACGTTTGAAACTTCATTGAAGGTCAAAATTATAATTGGTGATACAATTTTACTTTACCCTAACATTAATATAATATTAATATTTCCATAAAATGTATACAATGTAATAATGACATGACTGTAACAGGGGAGGTATGTCCCATCAGATCTGCAGCAGTTACACCGACGAAATATTACATTTCGTCAATAAAACAATAAAACTGACTATCCTGATTACACATTTCATTTATATTGATTATCATCGTTTCTTTTCTTGTTTTTTAAAAATAACCTTCTCAAGTCCCATCATTGGCGATTCAAATGCTAAACTCGCTACAAATGCTATCATCATCGATATTACTAAATTTCCAAGGAATTGATATATCTACAAAAAGGGAAATAAAAAAGATTTATTTCTATTTACATATTTGGTCGAATTAAGAAATATATGTGTTACCATAAGCTGTTCAATTTGTCGTAGCCACAATCCCATTCAAATTTTTTTATCGTTTTCGTGAATTGTGATATTTTTTACTCAGTCTCGATTTGCATCGCATGAGATGCAAGAAAGAGTCTTATGCATTTGAAAAACGTGTGCAGATAAAAGTTCGTGTATGTTTTCTGAAGTGTTTTGATGTTCTTTGAATTGTATGATTCTGTATTTTCAATTTAATTGATCCAGATTTATCTTATTGACAATAAAATCTAAGAATGTTTTAAGCATTGAATATTTCCGGAGGAAAAAAATATATTGCAAGAGCTTGCGAATGAAAATGATAAATAAAAATTTAAAATGTTACAATTATCGAAATAGCTATATCAAATTAATGTAAATGTTACAATTGTCGAGTGACATTGCAAGATGCTTGGGGAAAATCTCAGAATATTTACGTGCTATTCACAAAAGTTTCTTAGAAAGACAATATATTTCATAACAAATGAAATATTGAAAATCAAGTCCACCACAAGATTATCTATCAGTTGTGTATGTACGTCCTGTAACGTTCAAAATGTGCAGAGGGCATATATTTATGTACTAACATACAACATGCATTCAAATGGAATGATCATAGACAAAAGAAACAGACAATCAGGGAAAGAAACGAAAATAGATATGCTCTGCTAGATAACCTTAAAGCGAGATGAAGAGAATAACAATCATTTAAAAAAGTATGACAAAAATATCGAACTCCAAGGTAAATTCAAAAAGGGAAATCCATTAAAACTGACAAAATAGATTGTTGAACTTTATCAACAAACGGATCGAATGGAAAACAACTGTCATATTCCTGACTCGGTACAGGCATTTTCCGAAAAGAAATGTGGGTTAAACCTAGATTTATAGCTAGATAAAAAGCCCTTAAAGTTAGTTTTTTACCTCAAAGAGTTTAAACCTTTTTGATAGAAACTATATAGTTTATAAAACTTACGACATCACTATCTGTTAGATGCATCAATCGTTGTTTGGTGAATTGGTTATAATAGATAACAATAGGATGTACCAGGTAAGTACAATAGGTTAATCGACTTAATGGTATAAAGCCTTTCCATGACAAAACTGTGTTTATATAACCTGTAATATTATATATGAATGGAAATATAGTACGACAATAAGGAACAAGTCTTTTGAAGGCATTTACATGTTCTAATCAGTGGAATAATTTTCATTTCAGACCAGATTTGTAGAGAGTTCAAAAGTTATCACCATGAAATTGTATTTGTAACTTCAATAATAAAATTTAAACAATGCAACTCTCCGTATATCATTCTGTCATTAATTGTATATATATATATATATATATATATGATGTGCGAGATAAGTTTTATATATTTTAAGAACAAAAGGACAAATATGTTTACAAATCAAAATTAATTTACCTCCATAACCGTTTGCACATGCGAATACAACCCAACATACACATGCTCCCCATAATGTTCTATGTACTGTGTTATACAGAGAGGATACCTCTTGAGATACATGGTTACCATTAAGATCGTCATATTGTCCATATAATACAATACATGCTACTACGGCTGCAACTAACCATCCAAAGAAAGCTGCTACCTAAAATACCGGAAAATAACAGTAGGACAATAAGAAGAGAAAAGTATAATATGCAAATGCGGAATGATTACCAATAAAACGATTATCTATGAAAAAAAAATAATGGACAAAGATGTGAGCTATAACAGGTCACTGAACGATTTTCAACAATGAGTATAACATACATCTAAAATCTGGTTGACACAATTTGTATCAAATAAAATGACAGGAGTACAGGGTTATTTATAATGAGACATGGGGTCTATGAAACATCAAACAGCAGATTAGTAATAATCAGACTTATATGGAAATAGTTGTCTTGATGGCTTAAAAGAACAAGTAAGTTGTATTTTCTCTTAAAAAGTATGTAGTTTAAGTATACATTAAAAAAACTAGTCAGTTTGCTACAATATTGTTACCTATGCATTTTGATAGAAATTTATATCTATTTTGAGAATTACTTACTTTAGACATTCGATGTTTGAAGTTAGTTCTATAAAGTAAATAACCAGTATACATTCCAACTAAAAACGGACCCATTCTGAAGTATGGGCGGACGTAAAGCTTCATGAAGTTAAGTCCTCTGCAAGCAACAAACAAATCAAGATATTAATATGATATTTCGATACGTCTCCAAGCCGAATTAAGCTTGTTCACAAATGTCTGTTACAGTGGTTTATTATATGTGATGATATGGATTATCGTCTAATGGGAAGAAGGTCAATTCTAAATGTGCACCCCTTTATAACCTTCAAAATACATGGATAACTTTTCGGTACAAATAAGAAAGAGATTTATGCAATTTAGTTATTATTGGAGTATGTACTGCTGGTAAATAGATTCACTTTAAGTTATTTGCACCCCTGTTTAACCCTAAAATGCAGATAATTCCCTATCCCTGTCCTATTGAAAACTTGGCAATCCTTCTCTCACAAAGCCTTAACCGATTGGTCTAAGGGACATCTGCCAAGTCATATCACAAAAAAATAAACATTTTTGTAAATTATTTTTTTCTTCGGGAATAACGCAATTTTACTGCTGTATTTTCACTTCTCTTTATTACAGTATAAATCATTTTAGGGTCTTATTAAAAGAACGAATTGGTCAGTAAAAATAGAATCATGTGCAAAACAGTGTAGCCGAGACCATTGATTGGCGCGCTAAAATATCCCATTGACTGGGTCAGATTAGGTGAACGTTCGTCTGTAACGCCCACAACTCACGACGTATTTATTATAAACATTTAAACTGTGGGGTTGCCAAAGGGTCTCAGTATATATACGAACTACAGTGCACAGTATACTATATGCATATTTTATTTGCGATCATAAAATGTACGAAGTCGTCCATTACTATGTAAATTGGGTCGATTAAAAAAAAGCTGAATATGTTTCTGTTGCCAAGGGTTTTTCACAAGTATAGTAGTTAGCAGAAAAGATCATCAAACTATACATTGTATACTGAACTACGGCCAAGCTTAGCGAAAGGTCGTGCAACATAATCAGTCAAACAAACTTTATAAGATTAACTCGTTAAGGAACGATCGTTTTCATTGGTCAATTCAAACCTTCGACCTCACACCTGCGAAAATAGAACACGCGTACTATAAAAATGAATGGACTGATCAGTATTCACGTAGCCGGTCAAGGTCGTTAAAAACTTAAAATCGTCGTATTCACGTACATGATTGTGTTCTTGATTATCCCATGGCAATTCTAGCTTTTATACATGTGCATGTAAAATTTTAAACTTTAATCTTAACAGTCACGTCGAAATATTTAATTCAACTGTCTCCTCTCAATTGGTTCTGGATTAAGGGAGCTACCATTTTATTTTGATTTGGGATGGGGGACTTGGATGAAACATTTTGTCCTGCATTTTTTTTAGTTGTTATCTCTGTCCTGTCTTTCTATTTTTCAGTCTGTTAGGTCCTGACTATATTTATTAGTTTATCCTGATTTTTTTACATAAATCGTCATCCTGCCTTTTTTTTGTCAAGTTGCTCACCCTGCCTTATCTTTTATTCAATGGACTTGATGAATTAACGTTGTACTTGAAATGAAACCGTACTTAACTACAAAAATAACCAAATTACATACTAAAGATATTGCTCGATTTTTATAGTAAATGGGTTTGTGTTATAAACTGTCATGTTCATTATTCATATTCTTTCATAAGTTTTAGGATAGTGTGATTTTTTTTCTGATTTAGTTTACTTGATTTTGAAAAAAAAATCCCGAAATTCTAAATAAATTCAGAACATGTAACCAGCCATGCTTTGTTTAGAGAAAAAATGGAGATGGCAAACCATGGCACAGTGGAAGGAAATGTACTTTATAAACTCCAACGATATACTTTCTTAATTTATAATTAACTGTTTTGCTATCCTCGGTTGAAAATTATATATTGTAAATATTTAAATAGTTGCATAGAAAACAATCAGTTTTAAACAGTGTGGTTATTCACTAAATGTATTGATAAAAGGTGACTCCATTTTTGTACATACTTTTACAGTAGTCATCCTTAATTTCTTAATATTTCGTTTATAAGTTTATCATACATGTATGATTTTGTATTTCATTTTAATACGCACGCATGCCACACGTTACTTTGGCGGATAGTTCAACAATGTTATGCAAAGCTCTATTCTTACGGTATGAAATTAAAGGATAAATTTTCAACCAATTAAAATCGAAAACAGTACATTTATAGTTCCTTATAAACTACGACATTTCTCACAAGTATTTATTTATTTTTTAGTTCCACACATGCAAAAATAAAATCTTCGCCGATGAAACATTTCAAACCTTTTTACACCAACATGCCTTCACTGAATTCATTTGAATTTCGTAGTGACCATGATAGTACATTGCATAGTACATCTATATTCACGTGCACACATGATACGATCTTTCGGGGACAATTTGCTCGTTTATGAGACGTCATTTCTGAATGACCAAACGCTTAGCTACTTTATTTTCGTTTTATAGCATGAAAACAATAAAAGAGGAATGTGCAACCCATCATAAATTTGAAATGGATCAGTATTATGAGATCCTTATTATAAGTAACTACGACATTGTCAGGATAATAACCTAGCGTCAATATGAAAGAAATTAAAGTGGTTCATACATTCATCCGTATAAAAGCGGCACATGTATTTTATTTTATCCTTATATTTTTCATAGTGCGGTACAAGTGCTGCATGCATAAAGAATATTACTTAACACAAATTATTAGTATAATATTTCGACCCCACTATTTGAAATTCACAAAATACTTATTTAATTATTTCAACCAAAAATCATTGTTTTTTTCGTTCGTAGTAACGTAGTACATTCCATTGTCGGTCACCTGTGTCAATTCACGTGCACACTACAATTGTTGTTGTATTTAAATCTTTCGACCAATCAAATGAGACGTTACAAGTTGTTTGTTTGTGATACGCCAGAATGTTATCAATGAATTATCAATCGCTAAACTTGACTGTACCTATTCAAAAACGTAAATGCAAATTTCACAAGGCTTGATCCAAATAGCCTTTTTACTGTCTAATAAATTGCAAGTACGAAAAAGACAGGAAAGAAGTATATTTTGTCTATATGTTTTGTGTAATATACCATGAGCCTTAACCATTTATTGTTGATGAGTTTGTGCTAATAAAAATTTGTAATTTGTAATTTGTAATTTGTGTTTGCACACTTTTTAAAGTTGATCATGCATTCGTTCTAAAATAAAATTTTGACCAGATAAAAGTTAAAAGATGACATAATTGGACAACCGCAATTGTTAAATCGCTTTGACGTCCGAAAAAAAGATAATAATCAACACATCCATTGTAACTTTTAAAGCCAGTTAAATCCTTTTTTGCTGAAAGAACGTCCGATATCATAAAAATTCATTATCAAAACATAACAAAAACACAAGTAAAGAACGTTTAAGTATTCAATATAAATCAAAACACAAAGGTTATTCCTGATTAGTTTTTCGGATTATTTTATTTAGGCGTTGAGACCCTTTGGTGACCCCACAGTTTAAATATCTATAATTAATACGTCGTGAGTTGTGGGCGTTACAGACGAATGTTCACCTAATCTGACCCAGTCAATGGGATATTTTAGCGCGCCAATCAATGGTCTCGGCTACACTGTTTTGCACATGATTCTAATGTCATTTAAGCATATATTTCAATCTATCTCTAATTTCAAATGACGGATCTATACGTTGTTTTGTACACATATAAATTTGAGACTTATTCAACGAATATACTTGTATACCAAATCACCTTAGTTCATATTGTATTTATCATAGAATCTAAAGTATAATAGACTTGCACTTTATGAGATGTGGTGATGTTCAGGTGAAAAAAAAGAAAACAAAAGATGAACAGAGCAAATACGGGTTTGTTTAAGTTTCGTTTGAAGGCTTTAAATAAGTCGACATAAGATTTCAAAAAGAACAAAAATAACTCTAAAAAATGAATAAAGAAACATTTGCCATGAACCATTAGATTTAGGTAAATAATTTGCATTTTTAATGTTTTTATTTGCTGAAATCTTCTTTTTTTTTATTAATCAATACAGGTACAGAAAAAAACTGTTTCTTAATACATTGTAGAGAGAGAGAGAGAGAGAGAGAGAGAGAGAGAGAGAGAGAGAGAGAGAGAGAGAGAAGTCTATAACAAGGACCAACCAGCAAATTTAATATGTACCGGATCGTCTAGAATAGACGATACTGCGCAGAAAAGGAAAAAATATAAAAGTCTAAAGATTTGCGCAACAGTACTAATAGAAGATGATGTTATAAAATCGTGTTGACAAATATTTCGGCTTAACAAATAGCCTGAATTACAGATTTACAGTATTGTAAAAATTATTGACACTGACGAAGGCTATTTGTTAAGCCGATATAACATCATCTTCGTATATTACCATCTTATATTTGTACTGTTGCGCAAATCTTTAGGTGGGTGTGTGTGATGTAGAATTTTGATCAGTATTTCGTTTTTCTATATAGTGCTTTGTGGATTGTTTTTTTGCTGAGGTTTTATCGGTTTCTTATTGGCTAGCTAATTTTGATAGTCACTTTGGTATCTTAGGTTCTTTTATTAACAAGTGCATATTATAATTGAATTTCAATAATTCTGAATTTACCAAAACTATTCTCATTCTATAAATGATTGTAAATGTAAAATAAAGACTTACCCGTCAAATATCGATAAAGGTATATTCCATTGTGTGGCCATTATACCAGTGGCAGTCCATGTACCCAATAGAAAAGCCAAAATTACGACTAAACCAGTAATATGGAAGCTGAAAAGTGAATAACGAAACTTATGAACTATAGTTTAATTCCAAAATTTAGAAAGCCCGAGATCATATTCAAATAATATGAGGAAGTGTGAAAATTCGATTGTTAAATATTTAAAAGAATGTTTTGTTGAACGTTTTTTTTACGTCTGGAAATGTATTAAAAGTCAAAAATCCTTTAACTGCATCGCTATCCGAACCAATTAAAACAAATTCGTAGAGAAATCCGCAGCATTATCGTCGTTCAGTCATGTTCTAGCTTTAAGCTAGAATTTATATATAGAAAGCAGTATGATGGTCCTTTGTAACGCACATTTTTCATCAAAATAGTCCTTAATGACAAATAAAAAGAATTCTGAAGGTCACAATTTACAATTTCAAATTATATACCGCTACATTGACAACAACACTTAAGTAAACTGCATCTTTTATTGTCGACATGTTTCGCCGATTAGATCGGCGTCATCAGGACAAAGTATACAAAATTAGAACCCCTGAAGTACAATTATTTATAATTTCAAATTATGTTATTACTATTCTGCATTTTGTTTGGACAAAAACAAAAACAGATTGGTTTAAATTTCAGACGTCCATATTATGTGTGCATCTCACCTCTGTTGTACTACTAATGACTGTTTTATGTTGTTGTAAATGTATTGCCTAGCAAGAATATCAGTTAAAAAAAATTGCTAACAAACACAAAACAATAATAACAAAATTGACTTTTATCATGATTATAGTAAATCACTTAAAAGTTCCTTAGAAGATTAGACAAATTAGAAATATTACAAATCAGTTAATAATAATTTAACACCTTTCAGTAAGGTCGAGTAAACAATGATTGCCAGTCATACCATAGTACAATAAATTGTACATTGTGACATTAACTGTACGAATCTTTATTAAAGTATAGATACTTACTAAAACAATGGTAGAATTATTAAGGGACTGATAACGAAGAACTGCATGTCATTAGCTAAATACCAAGCCCACCCGAAACACTGAAATAGAAATAAATATTTATTGATGCATTTATACTTTAATTCAAAACTCTGGTTTTAATTCAACTGAAAAGCGAGAGTTAAACGCGTCAAACTGAATAGAATAATTAGATTTTCATGAGTATTACAGTATTTGCAAGAGCGGCTCACTTGTTTCTTCATAGACCGACCTTCTGGTATAAAAGGCTTTTTTTTAAAAATGTAAACAAAATGCATTTCATGATCTTAATTACTTACTACACCTACATTAGAATGTACGAGAGCCGTCATAGGAATCTTTACCCAAAATATTCCTCGAACCTATCATAGCCCTATGCCCTTAAAAGTACATACCGATTTGTCTGGATCATCAACAAAATTGTTGATATACAACAGATTAAAATACCAGCCGTGTTTACAATAATTAGGCTCGACACCATTCTCAGGCCATACAGGACCACTTCCGATATATGGAAATAGTGCAAGATATACCATCAATACTAACATATAGGGTGGTGTCAGTCTGTAAAACAAAGCATACTTTAAATTACGATGCGCTGTGCATGTACACTATCAAAGCTAATTTTCATAAACATCATTGTGTAAGCTTCAGTTTATCTACAGTTTTATTGACAACTAGTGTTGTTTGTCTATCTTGTAAGTTTTTTTTAATGCTGCAGCAAAATATTCTTTAAACACATGTTTAATCAGTTACGCTTGAATGCTTGGAAAGATTTTAACGAAGGAAACAAAACAGAACACTATTTAAACAAAACAAAATGGCTTCTTAATAAATAAAGTTGAAAAACTATATATATCTCTGTTTTGAAACTCCTCGCACATGAAAATGTCTTTCCTTGGCATCTGCTCTGTTTCTGTCCCGCGTAAAATGTTAACAACATGATATAATCGTATTTACTTCCATTTATCAACATTCTTTTTCGTGAGTAAAAGGAGGTCAACGAAACAGAAATCCAAGGACACACAAAAAGCCAAAAGACAACTAGAGGTCAACATATGTATTCAGTGAGCAAATCAGCGCATTTTCACGATGATGATTTAAACTTCCAATAAAGAAGTTTTAAAAGTTAGCTGTTGCTTAGACTCGTCGTTAACTAAAGAGAACCTTACTTCCATGTTCCTCTATACCTTTTTGATAGGTTCTTGTCAAAAGTAATTAATGATTTTATTTCTGGTGTATGCGTTGACTCTTAGGAGTAAATGACCAATTCTTCATAAATATAATTTCATATTTTAAGTGTATTTCATGAAATGTTATTTTTTTATTGTAAAATATAACGCTGTTATACCTCCAAAATCGATGGAAATAAAACATTCCCCAGTTCATCTTTCCGTCATTTTTCTTCAACTCTTTCATTATCAAATATGTCAACAAAATTCCACTGAAAAATGCATAATATGAAATATTAAATAAGCTTTATAAAATAAGCTTTATCAGAAAATAAAACAAACAAATTACAACTATACTTTTGTACAATCCTAGTCTTCAGTTTTTTAAGTTATATTTGCACAGGGGTCATTTTTTGTTCTTTTCTAATAAAGTCTAAGAGACGGAATTATTTGGTATGATCGAAAATTGGGCAAATATCCATCAGTGAAAAAGAACGAAGATGTAAACAACTAAAAATGGTTACAGTACGGTCTTCAGCAATGAGCAAAACCAATAGTGCAAAGTAAGCGTTAAAAGGTCCATGCATACCAAATGTAAAACAATTCAAAATTCATCCATTCGACATCACTGATAATGGTATTATTAGTTTAATATATTTAATGTTTCGACATCGGAGTTGATTCATGACTGCTGCTCTACATTTTCATATTACAACAAAACTGATGCAATCTATATAGTGTCATTTTCTTTGTTTTTCTTTAGCACTGGGTCGATATATATTAGTCCCCGAGAGTATCATCAGCTCACTAGTTAGTGCGGGTCGATATATATTAGTCCCCGGTGCGGGTCGATATATATTAGTCCCCGAGAGTATCATCAGCTCAGTAGTTAGTGCGGGTCGATACATATTAGTCCCCCAGAGTATCATCAGCTCAGAAGTTAGTGCGGGTCGATATATATTGGCCCCCGAGAGTATCGTCAGCTCAGTAGTTAGTGCGGGTCGATATATATTAGTCCCCGAGAGTATCGTCAGCTCAGTAGTTAGTGCGGGTCGATATATATTAGTCCCCGAGAGTATCGTCAGCTCAGTAGTTAGTGCGGGTCGATATATATTAGTCCCCGAGAGTATCGTCAGTTCAGTAGTTAGTGCGGGTCGATATATATTAGTCCCCGAGTGTATCGTCAGCTCAGTAGTTAGTGCGGGTCGATATATATTAGTCCCCGAGAGTATCATCAGCTCAGTAGTTAGTGCGGGTCGATATATATTAGTCCCCGAGAGTATCATCAGTTCAGTAGTTAGTGCGGGTCGATATATATTAGTCCCCGAGAGTATCATCAGCTCAGTAGTTAGTGCTTCGATACTGGCATGATTTATTACATACATATAAATTATAAAGAAACTCATATAAATTATTAAGAAACTAGGGTTCCAACTCCCTCAGGCAAAGTTGACCTATGATGGATTTGGCTTTTTTTTTTGTCCCTTTTGGTCATATAGCTCTTCGCATGTTTCGGTTCTTGTACATTCATGTCTTCCGAATTTTTGGTTTTGAGCGATCCTAATGAATGTAAAAGAGAGGAGAAAGATACCAAAGGGACATTCAATCTCATAAGTCGAAAAATAAATAGACAACGCCATGGTTATAGTACAGCGCTTCGGACGCATAAAAATTATAAAGTATTATTTTAATTTTTTTTCAAGCGTCCTTATCTCTGCTTCTTATAACTCTTGTTTAATATAGTAATGAGCATCAAATACAACAAACTCGTTGCATTTTACTTTGGTCTAATATAGCTAGAGATAGGCGTACGTGTATATTGGACTTAATCGATTTGAAAAGTTTACTATAGAGCTTGTGTTTATGTAGTCTGTTTGCTGAATATTGACATTAAACAAAACTTTGAATAGTAGAGAATGTAACATAATAACCAGCATAGCAAACACTTTACCTTCCAATCAAAATCTATGAAGAAACATAAGGTAAATGACCAGATTGGCTTTTTTAAATAAAATGTATCAAAACGTTGATATCCACTTATAGTAGCAAATGTAACCATTTATTACTAATTTATTACCTGAGAGTGAAAAAGGTATCCACAGAGACGAAGGCATTAGCAATAGTCATGAAAGATATCCTGCTCAGCATGCGAGGAAGGAAAGTAAGCGCATTATCTAAAACAGATATATGAATATTTTTAAGTAAAAAATGAAATTACTCTATATGAATTTTATTTTATTCAAGATGATAAACAGGGAACATTGGAGAATTTAAATTTTCCACCTTTTGCAAAAAATGTCAAAAAAAAAAATCCGCGTTCCTGTGAAATATCTGATGTCTGTTTAGGACTTTTGGTTTTAACATTCACAGACTGTTTGTATTTTTGGCATGGTTTTCCAGAATATTGGTCACCGTCGTCCCTAATTTGGGTATTGGAGAATATTCATAGTACATCTCAGCAATTTATGGAGCAGTAAACTGGAATTTTTAATTTCTGACGTATATTACTGTAGGTGTGACCAATTCATTGGTTGGTACCGGTTAACAATGTACTGGGTGTCTCCCTGTGATGAATATCTCAAAACAAATTTTAGTGTAAGAAAATTCGATATTTATGTCTTGATACTGTAATGAAATATAGATTTTTTTCTTCTTTCAATACTTAATCCTTAATTAGACAGTGTAGGCTGTTGTTTGTCTTTTTTGCTTTTTCTTTTTGTCTTTTTTTGTTATAGTGTAATCTGATTTATTTTTACTTGTCGTTTTTTATCCTTAGGATCTTCAATCTTTTTTACAACCTCAAAGATCATTAATGCCTTTTATGAATTATAAATTGTATTTTCAACCTTATTCCAGGATTTAAGAACTCCTCCACAACTGCCAAGATGAGAATCCCCAAAACGGGTTGGTATCTTGTAATATATTATACAAATTTAGAAGATGTGGTATGACTGCCAAAAAGACAACTATCCACCATAGACCAAAGGCAAAGGCAAGGATGTGACCAACTTATTTCCCAGTACTTAGGATGATTGTGTCATTGTCTGACGTAAATCCCCCAAAAAATCACTTCTTTGCCAATAGCTGAAATTTTACCCAACTGAAGCCTTTTTTTTCTAATCCTTGATTTAATTATCTGATAACGGATTGTAATTGCACATCTTTTTAAAAAATTGTGTCATAAACTTACCATCTAACGAAAGCCCGAAAATGTAGCTGTGACCAAGAATAACCCATGACATTGACAGAAATCGTATACCATTTATCGCTGTCAATGATCCAGCACTTTGATTGGTATTCAGAATTTTAGCTCCGTTCGTGTATATGGAAAATGCTAATAAAATCTTCCCGGAAATACCTGCAAAAAAATAAAAAGGTGTCAAACCTATAATCGAAATGATGGTCGAAAATTGATGATCTAAAAGAATTCAATTAAAAGTAGTTTAATCTATGTAAAAATATGAAATATATCAAATAATAGTCTATTTCAAACCGATATCCTTTGTACCACCATTTTGTACTTGAATTTTAAATTTTGTAATTTTGCCACGGTAAACAGTATAGAAATTGATTCGGTTTCATTTATTTTCTTCAAATAAACAAAATAATGATCTTATCTAAATTCTACTGATACTCCGAGCTTGTTATTGGTCAATTCTGTGATAGGCAAACTGTGTGAGGCCAATTCTGGTAAGTCAACACCTTGAATTGTCTTTATATTTTCATAAAATGGGATTTCACCTCAGTTTTGGAGATTTTAAGTGTATCTACTGCAATGAATCCATATGCTATTACAAGTTTGATATCAAGATACATTAACTTACGTGTCACATGATGTCGGTTCAGTAAAGTTAACGTATCTTTCTGAATTTTTTTTCAAACTAACCTGGATCAGACGTTTCTTCTACAATAATCTGTTTATTCTGTCCTATCAGTGGAGCTTTTTCAGTGGCTTCGACAACCAAATCACCATTGAGTTCAGAAAGCATCGCTTGTCTTCGCCACTTCGGTAGCTGAATTATTATAACATCGTAAAGTGTTCCAGCAACCATTATCAAAATAAAACAGGCTATGACTGCACTGAAAATAGTTTTGTTTAAAAATGATATACTTATCAGACATTTCATAAAAAGCAGGCCAAATGTTGAAATAATTTCATAAAGCATATTAAAATATGACAAGATAACAGTAATATGTATTGAATTCTTATGAATATGTTTTAACAAATTACTGATAAGGCAAAACACTTATATATCATTGAAAAAGAAGTCAATGTTTAAAGTTAAAAATAGAGGTAAAAAGAAGTTTGAAGTAGGTATTCGGAGACAAAAAATAAAAACTTTTATTAGTTGCTATTGGCTTGGAACTAGCTCTCAGTAACTTCGAGTACTAACAGATCGGTTATATGTGTCGTTAGTATTTTTGTTGGTTAATTTTATAGTTTGTTCTTATCTTGTTTAGTTATACCACTGTCCTAGGTTAGGGAAAGGTTGGGCGCCCACAAACATGTTTAACCCCGCCAGCTACATTATCTATGTGCATATGTGTAATTCCGTAGTTGTCGTGTGTTACTGTTTATCATAGTTTTGCACATAAGTCAGGCCGTTGGTTTTCTTATTTCAATTGTTTTACACTTGTGTCAATTTTTCTAACTTTGGGACGATTTCGAGCTGGTCATTTTGTATTATTGAAGAGCGTGTGCTTTAAATGTCTTTAGATTAATATGTTGTTGTTTTGTTTGTAGGGATCTTTGGAAAGGGTGTGGTTTATTAATGAACGCAACTTTGTATTCCTATTTCATTGTTTCGTACTTACAGCACAATTATTGCTCTGGTATCATATGGTTTATTTGGATGTTTACAACTGACAACTGCTTCTGTAGAACTGTTGGATACAAAACTTATAACTGAAAGTGTAAATATCAAAATGGTTTCACAAAGTAGTTAAATCTAACTCAACTATTCTTTCTGCTAACAGGCATCATCGTTAGAAATAGACTGTCTATGGAGTATTGTCGTTGGAGTATAGACTGTCTTTCGAGTATAGACTGTCTTTGGAGTATAGACTGTCATTAGAGTATTGGCTGTCTTTGGGAGTATTGACTGTCTTTGAAGTATTGGCTGTCTGTGGGAGTATTGGCTGCCTTTGGAGTATTTGCTGTCTTTGGAGTACAGACTGTCTTTGAAGTATTGGTTGTCTTTGGGAGTATTGACGAGGACATTTATAATGTCATCGCCTAAGCATCGGACATTAGTTATGTTTATATCAAATACTGCTGATCCTTGGGCTTTCTTTATAACACAATATGCGTTCTGTATATAACTATTATGTAATTATTTTATTCTAGTTTTTCTTATCAAACAATATCCGAATCTATGCACATATGCATGTATATCATGCTACTTCAATTCATCACAACGATCATTAATATAATTGTTTTACCAATTTATTATTTATTTATTTTATCTATTCATATATTCTATTTTGGTGAAATATTTCTCGTCAAATCTTACATTTTAATAGTAAATTTTCAGTTGATGGTTGTTCCATAAACACATGTCAGTAATTCATGTATGTATTTTTCACCTACCTGAATTGATTAAATTATTGGCATCAGTATCTGTACAGCTATCAGGTAAACACAATCCAACGCTAACTGAAGGAACCTGAAAGTTGAACAAAAAATTATATAAACATTTGGTATACGGGGTTCGTGTTACTCAGTCTTTGGTTTTCTATGTTGTGTTTTGTATACTGTTGTTTGTCTTTTGGTCGTTTTTCGTTTTTTGCCATAGCATTGTCGGTTTGTTTTCGACTTATGAGTTTGATTTTCCCTTTGGTATCTTTCGCTTTCCTTTTGTTTTAATATGACAAAAAAAGAATTCAACACACTCAACAGTTTTATCAGCTGCAGTAACATCTTTTGTACTTACAGCAGAAAACATGGTTGGTTGAATTCCTTTTAATGGTAGACTGGCTATACAGTGCTTACAGGAAAAAACAAGTTTGGGTTAATTCCCTTTAACGGTAGACTTGCCATACAGTACTTACAGGAGAAAACATGGTTGGTTGAATTCCTTTTAATGGAAGACTGGCTATACAGTACTGTCCACTGATACTGTATGATGTTGTGTTGATACTAACAGCAGCAGCTTGGACTGAGAGACATTCATCATAATCCCCAAGCCATATAAGTCCTCCTCCGAGTATATCGGCAGGCGGTTTCCCAGCAGCATCAATCACTGTAAACATAGGCAAATAATGAGTAGTGCTTCTTCAATATATTGCATAACCAAACGGGAGAATATGCAATTCCTGCCTGAGGCTGTTATTATTATTTGAGACATTAAATAAACACACAAATACAAAATAACTTTCTAACGACTTAGGTATAAAGTAGAATTCACATTTACCCTTTTAATGTTGAAATCACTTTTTAATTCAGTTTTAAAAAATAGTCTTGGAGTGAATTGTTTACTGTGTTAACTTTTACTACGACTATATAACACTTACAGGTCAGGCAAGATATAACTAAATACTTACATATAGACGTGGTCATACCATTTGTTATAATTTTGGTCTTAAATCTCTTGTATTTAAGTTATTAATTCCAGCTATTGATAAGTGACTTTGAAGCTCTTTCAAAAATCGTAAGCACCCCTGATAAACTTTCAAGTCTTCAAATATTTAGTAAGCTTGCTTACAAATTGTCCCTTGAAATAGCCTGTATATGTATTAGAAAATCTCACGCAAGTTATGTCATACGTAATATATACACTAGTATACCGATTCAAGAACGTATTATCAAATTGTCTGTACGATCAAGGTTGTATGAACTATATCCTAATTCATTTCTAAAGTATAATGTATGGTGTCATGTCGTGTGTGGGTTTTATCTCTATCAGAAACAAACAACACAAGGCGAAACATCTCATACTGTTATCATGACTATTTTTTTTCATGTGTTAGTGCTGTTAAGGGGATATAACGTATTTTAGCCTTTACTTTAATTATAAAGTATGCAACTGTTTTCTTTTTCAAAGATGAATATGGGAAGATTTGGTGCACAAGTTGTGAACACATTGTAATTTTGTGAACGTTATAAGTTGTAGATATTTTTGTACAAACTACCAGTTTTATAAGAACACCTTCTTTCACTAGGTGATTCAATCTATATTCAATAACTTACAGCTAAATAATTTATTTACTAATGTATATACTTCAGCCTAACATTAAGTTAGCATAAAACTGAAAATAAGGAAACCAAAGATAATGGGTAAGATTATGTTTATATTTCTTTCGCTTTAACCACATTCTAAGTCTCCAGAATATAGTTAAATGACATCTTATTTGTATCAGTGTCATGTATAAGGCTATATATTATTATATCATGTAGTCATGCAAATATGATATTGATGAGCTAAATTAAAGACATGGTCCTTATTTTCCGCTTTAATTTTTTTAAACGTATGGGCATAATATGCGAGATGTTGTATTGACATTGTGATCACCTATTTGTTGTTTTAGTCAAGTTCATACATAGACTTGTATGTACTTTAATAACTTCCAAGACACAGGAGTACGAGTGACGATATCTACCTAATTGTCTTAACTTGAGAGTTCCGGGCGTCAAATTGAATATCAATGCTGTAAGACATAGTGTATATATAGTGCACATCATGAACTCAACCTCACCTCACTTTATCATTAGGATATAACATATCAGATAACTGGTACAGTCACATATCATGACGTCCATATTTGAAATATGGAATGGACATTAGACTGAACTTTAATGAAATAGTAGTATAGTGACATCAAAATGCTTGTCCGTCATCGAAAGAAAAACCGCAAGATTTGTCAATTGAAAGCTAATCCTGACTACATGCTTGTGTTCATCTTTCAATGTATAACAGTCCATGTCACTTTCAGCGAAAGAAGACTTAGGGTTTGGATCTTAAAAGAGTGGGTTTTTTTCATCTCAAAATTTTGACACAAGGCCAAGTTTAATTTTCTGTTGAAATATGCAAACTAAAAAGGGTATGTCCAGCAAGGGTCAATATATGTAAAAAAATAAAAACGCAAAGTTTAACTTTTATAAATATTTGATGTTATTATATTCAACTCTACCATGACAAATAAAAAATACACAACTGAGATGAACTACATCAGTAATTTATATGTCATTCTGATTAACATTTTAATCAATTTATGTTTTGCTATTGATAGTTTTTGCTTTAGATGAATCTGACCACATTGCATGAGCCAGCACAATTGTTTGTAAGAATACGTATCTCACCGATACATTTCTTTTGATAAAAAATTGTTTTCGAAGAAGGATGGAAACCTTGTTTTTCAGGAAGAAGTATACCTTACAAAGGACTACAAATGGTCTTAAACGGGAGATGTAGCTAGAAAAAACTTGTAAAATATTCCTCTTCATAAGCTTGTGACAGCAAACACTATTTTTTTTCTATTGAAAACTTCTTTTCAAATTTGTCCCTTAAAACGTTTCGAAAGTATTAGTGTAATAGAGTAGTTAAGACTTTACTAACATACATGCCAATTTTCTTTGAATTTCCATCTTATATTAGAATTTACAGGGAATGTCCCTAGATATAATGTTCCTGCGGCTGGTGACAACTAGACATATGTTCTTTCCAGAGAGTCTATTAGGGACCTTGTCTGGACTTCTGTTCACAAAATAACAACAGCAAAAAAAAAAAGAACAAAAAAAAACAATGTCGTACCGAAACAACCATTTCAAAGATTGATTTGTCTATCACACAAGCAGTCTGATTAGGTCCGCTGGTAGGGTAAGCAACGTAAACTATGCTCTCACTCAGAGAAAATATTCTTTAGATTGAATCCAGGTCTTTATGTAAATACCTTATTTAAATCTGGTGCAAATGATAGCAACTGGTGTAAAAAGAACTGCAGCTACTCAAGAAGAATAGTAGTTTCAATTAGTTATAATTACTTACTTTTTATGGCCCATTGCTGTTTGTCAACCAATCCTTTAATCACACCTTTGACATGATTAATGCATATGTGGGACACGGGCAAAGATGGAGGCGGTATAATAGTGGTCGATGCTGGAGATTCGGTATCGGTTTTAGGTGTTGTAATAGTCCAATTAGATGCTTGAGAGGTCCAAGTAAGAGGAAACGTCGTAATATCAGATGTTACGTTTTCAAAAGAAAAACTTCCATGAGTTCTTGACGATCCATAAGCATTTTGGTCGCTGATGAGATTTCGGAGATTTGTGCTTACAGCAAGTAAGTCTGTTATTTTAGAAAGTGTATTAGGGTTTTTATTAATAAAACCGTTTAACTTTTGTAAGTTTTGTACATCTTGCATTAATGACATATATCCTTTATTGTTATTTAAGGGTTCTATTGGCATCCATGCGGCAGAGAATGCTAACATAAATAATAGAAACATATTGGAATAAAATATCCTGCCTAATTTATGAAATGTTGTATCAATGAAATGTTCTTTAGTTTTATATCATATTCATATCATTCAGTTGTTTAAACAGTGTGATGATGACATTATGTTATCACTCATGAATCATACATAAATTTCATAACATCATTAATTATCATGTGATCATAAGGTTGAATATCTAGGAATGATGACGAAAGAGATTTACCCAACTTCACTCATAAGGTTAAAATCGGAAAGTATTTGAAACCTACTTGACTTTGAAGATATAAGTCTAAACAATAAACAATATTACTTGCAAGATTTTACGACAATTTCATAACCTTGCAGTATTATTGTTCCATAAAAGTCATAATGTAGAACTATAAGGGCAGGTGACTCAAAAATTGTTCCATTTTATTTCAAGCTTGCTTGTTGTAGTCGGTATTGTCTTTTCTAACATGATTTGTGCACGTTAAAAGTTCGGACGCATAAAATTTATAACGTTTTGTTTTCACTTTTTATACAACACTGGGTCGATACCTCTGCTGGTGGACTGTCTGTCGTCGAGGGTATTATCAGCTCAGTAGTCAGCATGATTTATAACAAACATTTCTAAAATTGTCCGTATATAAATTTTGAAATTATAAAGAAAATAAGGTTTCAGCTCCTTCAGGCAAAGTTGACTTTGGATGGACTTGGCTATTTTATTAGGTCCTTTTTAGTCATAAAGCTCTTCAACTGTTTCGCTTCTTACACATCCTTGGATTTTGAAAATGAATATCTTGGCCTGGTAAGAACTGAAAATAAATAACCTTGTACCAGACAGGATGAAAATGAATATTCTACAAAACGAAATGCAGGAAACAAAAATGTGAACAAAAGTGAAAATAAGTTTTCGCGCGTCATAGCCAAGGCAAAAAAATAAGAATGCATAACAACAGATGAAATAACTTATTAATGCGGAAATTCCTCCTCCCCCCACCTTAAACTCCGTTTAGAATATCAAATGGTCGTACCATAAGTAATCTCTTAAAAATATCGCAAATGTGTATGCTAACACCACTCGGTTCAAGATGGATTAATACTTCGCCGAGTTCTGTAAGTAAAAAAAAACACACGTTAAAGAATACAATACGTCAATCATTGATTTGTAAGAAAATAGAGAGAGAGAGAGAAAAAATTCAAGTAATAACAAAATATTTCACAGAAAACTAAAGATAGAGCAACACGAAACCCACCAACAACCGGCAATGAACTCATGTGCTCAGGAAATCTGTCGTGTTACTCTTGTTAAATTAGATTAGTATACCTGTTGTTAAAAATTAACAACTTTGTGGATTTTTAGAGATTACGTGCTAGACATGTTGTATAGACAATTCTCCATTGTTGAAAACTGTATGTGAACCTCTGTCTTTTGATTATTTAGGTCGTCGGGTTGCTGTCTTATTGTGGTTTACCCCACATTTTCTTTTATTCAAAGCACCACTATTCCTCGTATTTCATAGAAAACGACGGAGACATTCAATGCTAGTATGTTGCCTCTGTCTATTCGGTGGTCATTAGCTGGTTTTCGAGGCATGTTGAAAAATGAAGCTTCTATGATGTCTATTGTCATGTACAACTATGTAAAATAAAAAAAATACACAATTTTAGAGGAATATCATGGCGAGCTGTTACTGCATGGCCTTTATTACACACCATGTTAGATCGAATTCCTTATTACTATAGTAACATACGTACATTGTTCTTCTTTTCCATCCCGGGAACGATTGGAAAAGTTTGTACCATCTAGATAAAAATAAAAAATGAAAACATTTTGTCTG